GCGCGCCAGAAAGAGAAGATGGCGCTCAGCTGCCTCAGGAAGTGACGTCGCCTCATTTGCATGCCGGCCAGGCCAGCCAATGGGTGTGGAGTGTGCCTGGGGACCCCCTGGGCCCTTTCCACTGGACTCTCCTGGCCCCTGGACCCCGTGGGCCTCCAGGCCCTGGGAGGGGGTGGGCCCCCCCACGACCCTCCCCTCAGGGGCCAGGGGGGGCCGGGGGGCCAGCCTGTCAACTCTCCCCCAGCTCCAGGCAAACTCTCGAGAGAGTTTGGCTGGGTGGTGACGTCATCAAGGGGGTGGGGCGAGCCGTCGTGCCGCACGTGACCGGTCACGTGGTCTGCCCAAAGCTCTGACTTTTTTGCATGAGATGGGGCGGAGCCAGTGGCAGCCAAGTGGGTAGCCCCGCCCATACCTACAGACCAATAAGAAGCCAGCCCTGAGGATAGTGTCGTGTCATTGGAGGATAAGATTTAAACTCTAGGAACTTGGACCAGTGGGCCTATGATTGACATATCTTGGTGAGCCAACGGGGTGGGATCTCCTGACTCATCATTCTTCTCAAAAAAAATTAGTGTCACACCTTTTGGGCATTTTCATGCTAGTTGCATCCATACCACATTGTGTAAGAAGAGGGTTAATTGCATGTATTTGCATGATAACAGAATATTTCTTAAATTGGGTGGTAAATGGAGGAGGAGTTTTCAAAGTGGTTTTCTGAGTCTCCATCCATGGAGAGCTCATGCCCCTTGTCCGCTGTAGATGCAGCACGAGTTGAAGACCAATAGAAACACTTTCTAAAATGCTTTGCAGTTCTTTCAACAGACCTGTCCCCCATTCCCACGTCTTAATGGATACCAGAGATTTCCCAGTCTTGCAACTCCTGGCCTCATCCATCCTCCTTGTCCACAGGTCATGTATGTGTCCATAAAACCAAACTCCCACCAACCGCCATCACCACATGTCTACGTTCCACCCAAGCTGGTCGTACATCGTGCTCACCCTGCCCTGTCCGAAACCTTTATCCTCCTGCCTCAGTTGTGCCATTTTATACTGAGCCTTCTGTTCAGTTTTGTCCAGTGACTAGAAATAGTAAGCACTCAGTAAGTGACTACGTCAATTTTTAAGTGTGTCCAATGTCAGACTGATGATACTGAACCATAGTCTGCCTTTATTTCCTACATGAAGACAAGTCATAATTGAAATAGAGCTGTCCATTCCTGTTTTTTCAGAAGTTTAACTGATCTGATTGTGAAGCTACAGCAGCAAGTGAGCAGGATGTCCCTGTTCATCTCCCTTGAGAAGCTGGGTGAAGTGAAAAGTTAGCTACAGCCTTCCAGCCTTCCATCAAGCAAACGATGCTCACAAGTGCCTCATCACTTCTTCCCATTTCTCAAAATAAGTCTATGCTATGTCCCTTCTCTTAGCCATCCTTGACTCTTCAGGCTCAGGCATTGCCTCTTCAGGACCACCACACTGCAGAAACCACTGGTCACCAGTGATTTCCTAGTTGTTGAATCCAAGAACAGACTAGTCCTCACTTCTTGGACCGGTCTTTCATCTGTAACCACTATGGGAACTCTTCCTGAAGCCCTCAACTCACAAGCTTGCTGTTCAGTTTTCACCAGTGTTCACAGAATCTGCCCGTTTTTCTACGTCATTCAACACATATTCACTGGTCACCTCCTTTGCCAGGGAGTGTAATAAGATACTGGAAATCCATACCTTTCATTCAATGTGGAAATCCATATTCTCCCCCTGTTGAGCTCAACTACAAACCCCATTATTTCAACTTCTAAGCCTTATCTTACCAGGTGCATCAGGCAGACCTATAATCCCAGTGCCACAGAGGCTGAGGTAGGTGGGTTACAAGTCAAGACCAGCCTTGTCTCAAAACAGAAAACAAAGATAGGAGCAAAGGAGAGAGAGAATCCTCCAGTTCCTAATTAGAAGTGGGTGGGACCCATTGCACTCCCCAAACCCCTCCCCACAGGCAGGGTGCTGCTCTTTCACTCTTCCCACGTTGAGTTCCCATCCGCACCATATGTTCCTCACAGGTGCTTCCTCCCCTGCAGCCCTGCCACTGCTGCCAGTGGTAAACTAAGCCTGTTTGCACACTGGCAGGCTCCCGGCCAGCCTCCAGCTTGTCCCCAGGGACTTTCCCCAGTCAGCCATCTTTGTGATGTATCAAAAAGCAGGTATGATCCATCAGATTGTGTCATGTCCTTAACCCCATCTTCAAGGAAAGGACTAGAAGAAACCATCTGGCAGCAGGAGAAACTCCAGGATCACCTTCTAAGATTAAAGGGGCTCAGGAGAAATGGCACCCTGGACATGAGACAGTCAGTCTCCACCTGCCATCAATGTGCTCTGTCACAACTCAGTACAAGGGAATAGGAGCTTTTCTCCCAATAGAAAGAAAGCTGTCTCAAGGGACCCTTAGGTAAAGATTGATGATGACTTCTCTTTTGACTTAGAAAGAAGAAAGGTGACAGATCTGACCTAAAAGATTGACACCAGTACCAGGTTTTACTTACTGAGGCCTGACTCTTAGCACTAGCATGTTGGGCCTTCAGTTTTTATATGAATTCAGGAAACACATTGTGAAGCCCTGGGCCATAAAAAGGTAGAATGTATTTGGGGAAGGAAACCTGGCATCCAGTTTTCCTCCTTTTTTAGTTTTTTTGTTTAGTTTTGTTTTGTTTGTGGAGCCTGCCCTTGAACTTGTTCTGCAGACCATGTTGGCCTTCAACTCACAGAGATCCATCTGCCTCTGCCTCCCAAGGGCTGGGATTAAAGGCATGCGCCACCAACGCCTGGCCCAGTTTTCCTACTTTTAACTTATATGCGTCTTTGGTTCCTTAAAGTTTTCCAGCATTTGCAGGTAGTCAAGGAAGGGTGGCTTTTAATAAGAGGTAGCACAAGTTCCTTAATGGTATGTGTGCCTTGATCACTCAGTGTGAAAGTTGGCATGTTCTAACAGGGAAAAACAAAAGCAAGTAGGTTATTAGCAAGTATAAGGGCTGTGGCTTGGGGTCAATGCTTCCATCCATCCAGAAAACAGTTATTAAATAAAACATATTCAAACCCATGGAAGGAGCAAATTGGACAAAGTCTACCTGCATGTGTTGAAATCACTCTTGGGGCTTAACCCTACCATGGTAGACTTTTGTTTGATTGTATCGTAGAGCTAGATATGACCTCAAGTGTGTTTTTAAAAGGTTTCCCACCAAAGCTGACTTAATATACTACAAATTTTTCTTTACTGTGACAAGTACTTTCATTGTGTATTTGACACTACCTGGTACCACTAAGTGTCTTCCTGTAAGTGTCACAGATTGACTAAGTGGGAGCCAGGGAGACTCTTCCTAGCTTCCTCCTCAAATCTATAGCTAAAGATGCATACACTGACCCTCAGGAGTTTAGCTGGTATCATATTGTTTGTAAAACTGATGGACAAATGACCTTTTATTGTTGTTGTTTGTTGGGTTTTTTGGTTTTTCAAAACAGGGTTTCTCTGTGTAACTTTGGAGCCTGTCCTGGAACTCACTCTGTAAACCAGGCTGGCCTTGAAATCACAGAGATCCACCTGTCTCTGCCTCCCAAATTCTGGGATTAAAGGCATTCGACACCAGTCATATGACCTTCCAAAGAGCATTTCCTTCAACTTACATGGAGTCTCTTTGGGTGGGCTCCACCTTTGTGATAGATGAGCATAGCTCAAGGGTGGGAACAAGCCGAAGTGAGAAACACTTTGCTTCCAAAGTATTGCAAAGTGATGTTCTAACAATGTGGGTGTAAGGGGGAAACAGGGTTTCTTTTTTCCATTCTCCTTTTAGCAGTCTTCACAGATAGTTATTCCATTTTGATTTTTAATCTCTGGTCACCAAGAAATGTGGCACAACTTCTCCTAGCCAAAGAATGATGTAGTGAATACCAGCTGTCCTCAGATCCAAGTCACTTTTGACACTGTCTCCTGGAGTTCATCCAGTCTCTCAGTGCTCGTTCCACTTCCAATGAACCAATTAATGCCTTGTCAGTCACTTCATGCCCACGTTGGAGGGTCCAGCATCCCACCAATTCCTGCATCTCCTCCTCCTTGGGTTAGGTTGACTTGGAATGATGGCTCTAAGAACTTGGGGAACATGCTCACTGGTTTGTTTATAGAATACTACAGAGGATTCTGGTGTACACCAGATGGGGGAGATGCTCGGGAATATGGGAAGGGAACAGCCCTATGCTCTCAGGAAGAGCCTGAGAATCTCCAAATGTTCCGTTATCAAGATGCTTCATGAATGCAGCCTTGATGATCACCCCTTCTCTGGAAAGCATCATTTCGTAGATGTGATAGACTAACTCGGTGACCACTGATGAACTGCTCAACCTCCAGCCTTCATCTCCTTCTCTAGGACAGGGTATGAGGCTGAGAGTCTATTCTAATCCTGACTTATATCAGTTCCCACCCTGAAACTCCATGGAGACTTCTAGAGTGAGATGACTTATTAGCATAACAAAAAATACCTGGCACTTTGGAGAGTTCCTTGTATTTTAGGAGTTGGGTGCTGGGAAATATCTCTGTCAGTGCCATAGATTACCACCCACTGCCACCTGAACCTATTCTTCTCAGCTCTGACTGGTGGAACAGCTTTGGTGAGTGCATCCCAGCAAACCTTCAATGAGGCAGATCATATCCTAGTGACTTGCAAATTCATACTGAAATGGAATTCATAAATGAGTAGCCTTACAATAGATTAACAAATTAACAGCACCCAAGATGACGCCCAACCCAATCTATTCCTCTATTAAACATCACCACTTTCCCCAACTGGTCCCCCAGTAAACATACAATACCTGATACTTCTGGAGCAAGTGTCCCACGCATTTTCCCTATCAATTCTCAATCAGAGCATAACTCCAAGTAAGACAGAGAAGTTCCCTAACTGAGGTGGTAATCCAGAGGCTTCTGTCTTTGATGGAACAGCAGTGACAGATGAACAAGTGTGACAGTGGTAAACAGAATGTGAAGAGACAGGGTCACAAGCTCACAGTGGTGAATTAGCTAGCTGAAAAGTGTATGTCCCATTCAGCAGCAGCATCAGGCATGCATGAGGAATCCTGAAGTAAAAGGGGGACGGTCAGTATCAGCTGTCTTGAGACAGGGTTGTGTGCACTTACACCTCACCCTGGGAAGTGTCCCCTATTATTTGGTAACAAATTTTGCCTGTCTTCTATGCTGAGCTCTGTTTCATCTAAATTCATTCAAGGATGATCAAAGATCAACATCAGAGGGCACAGAGACCTGTTTTCCAGCTAAGGGCCTAAGGGTTATACCATAGGCTACAAGACAGGGGTAAAAAAAATTCTGCAGGATACTTGCAATACCTACTACCACTGTGGCATGTTCACTAGGAAAATTATTAGGCAAGGTGATAGTGTTCAGTGTAAGAAGAGAGAGCTATGATCACCAGGAATTAGTGGGGTTGACCATCACCTTGGGTAACAGTAATTCAGTGAATCTGCCTTGAATATTTAGAGTACAGAAAAAAGATGAGAACCTCCTTCATGGGAGCAAACTTGTAGTTTCCTTACAGATGAGATGATCTTGTATCAGGCTGATGGTTTGCATCTTTTGAGTATAAAGTTGAAACCACCACAGCTTAGACATAAGAGAGTAGAAGGCATATTACCTGCAGCAGGGAATGAGGGGACAGGAGATATGTTGACAGCATTGTCCTCCCTGGACAATGGAAGAGTGGGGATCTCATTTGGGGAGCCTAAACATACTCATAGAAAAGAAGGGGCAAGTACATCCTTGAGTGTGCTCGTAGAGGAGTGTGTTTTAGTTAGGGGTGAGTGTGCTCGTAGAGGAGTGTGTCTTAGTTAGGGTTGAGTGTGCTCATAGAGGAGTGTGTCTTAGTTAGGGTTGAGTGTGCTCATAGAGGAGTGTGTCTTAGTTAGGGTTTCTGTTTGCTATGATTAAAAAAACATGACCAAAGGCAACTTGAAGAGGAAAGGGTTTATTTTACCTTACAATTTATAAGTCCATAACTGGGGGAGGCCAGGGTAGGACTTGGAGGCCGAAACTGGGGCAGAGGCCATGAAGGATTGCTAAAGAGGAACAAGAACGGAACCCGAGATAGGTTATTAACTGGAAATTTATTGGGAAATATATACTCACACGAGGAATCAGTAACCAGATTTGGCACTTCCAGAAGTCCGAACCCAGATGCTTCCCAAAGCTGGCTGAACCCAGAGAGAGAGAGCACCTGGCTCTGACTCTCCCTTTATCCTACCCTTTACATACCTGTGACCACGACTGATACAGATATCAGGGCCTCTCCCTACAGAGTGTCACTAACTTGCTCAGTGTGCTTTTTTATATCATCCACGATTACCTGGCCGGGTACGGCACCACCAACAATGAACCAGGCCTTCCCACGTCAATCACTAATTAGGAAAATGCCTAACAGGCTTACTTACAGGGGGACCAGGATTTCTGCTCCAAATAGTGTTTTCAACATTGTGGGAAAACTGTACTCATAAGATCTCAACAATATGACCACCTAAACAAGACCTGAACAGTGACAGCACCAGTTAACATGCCATTGTAGATGGGAAAAATTTCACAGGGCACCAACCCTAGATGAAGAGCTACTGGCAAATGACTGCTGCAAGAGGAAGAGTTTGTCTTTGCCAGGGATGAGCCTTATAACTGCTTATCTAATACCAAATGGTCAGCCCTGAAAATATGTACATAAAAGCAATAGTAAATGACCTTGGCAAGTTGTACTTATATATTTATATATACGTGTGGTGTGTGTGTGTGTGTGTGTGAGAGAGAGAGAGAGAGAGAGAGAGAGAGAGAGAGAGAGAGAGAGAATAGAGACCATGAGTGGGAGGACATGGGAAGAGTTAGAAGAAAGGGAAGGGAAAATTGATGTAAATACAATACTTGTATATGAAATTCTCAAAAATAATTTAGTTGAGTTTTAGAAAAGGTAGAAAAAAGAAAATGAGGAAAAGAATAAGCTTGGAGCAGTACCCAGAGGGAGGTATACAGTGTGGTCCATGAAGCGGGAAGATAGACTGGAGTGGGAAGACCCACCGTCAGTGTAGACAACGTTCTCCAACAAGTGGGTGAGATATAAGGTGATATGAAGGAAAAGCTGTCCGTGTGTGTGTCCGTGTGTGTGTCCGTGTGTGTCCGCGTGTGTCTGTGTGTGTCCGTGTGTGTGTCCGTGTGTGTCCGTGTGTGTCCGTGTGTGTCCGTGTGTGTGTCCGTGTGTGTCCGTGTCCCTGAATGCATGTGTCCCAGCCTTTGTTTCTTCTTGCTGAGTGAGCGCTGTCAATAGTGCTGTGATCCTTCACTGACAATAGGTTCCAGTGTCTTTGGTCTTCAACTGTGGACTCAATACCAGTTACTCTGCAATCCCCAGGCTTTAAGATGTGCTGCTGAAGTATAAAGCTTCTTAGGCTGAGCAATCTATTAGGTTCTCAGTCTCTCCAGAGAACATAAAGCCTCTATCATGTAAGACAATGTAACAAATCCTTATATAGTCATATATATATATATATATATATGATGGTGGAACTTGGAAAGATGGATCTTGATGGAGGTCAGTGAGGCATGTCTTTGAGGGCTTATTTTATCCCTGGAGCCTTCCTATTATTCCTTTCTCCTTCCCAGCTGCCTTAAGGTAAGAAATCCTGCCCCATGATGCCCTCTCTGCCATGATCCTCTGACTTACCTTCATCCAGAAACAATCCAGCCTGCCTACTCTAGACAGAAACCTTTGAAAACATGAACCAATACAAATATATGTTTGAAACTGTTTCAGGTATTTGTCATAGCAATAAAATTATGGCTAATACATCATTTTTGATCAAGTTATACTACTTAGAAATCTGGGCACAGAATTGAGATTGTAATCAGGGTATGAAAGGAGTATGAATTTTCCTAGAAGAGGCAGGGTCCAGATCCAGATGTCCCATAAAGGCTAAGGGATGTTCCCACACACTGTCTCAAGCTTGATGTACCAAGGAAGTTAACCATGGTCACCTGCTTTTGTCAGAAGATTCAAGAATCCTGGGACAAGAAGGCTTTCAGAGGAAGAGGGGGACTCCAGGAGTGCTCCGGTCAGAGGTTATAGACTTCGTGTAAATATGTACAGTTGATACTCAGGCAACAAGGGCAGGGACACTGACCCTACTGCAGTCAGAAATCTATATGTACTACTTTAAAAAGTGAACAAAATCTACTTTTTAAAATGGACAAGTGTGTCGGTACAGTGGTAGATTAGAATGTTACTCTGTGATTCTGAAAAACATGAAGACTGAATAAGAAAAAGGAGACTATATTCTGAATAGAAGAGGGGAAGTATCAGGGATTAAGAAAAGTGTGTTTTTATTTTGTTTTGTTTTTCTTTTGTGTCTCAGCATCTATATGTGCTTTCTCTTTAGCTCTTTTTCTTGTTTATTTATCTGTTTGTTTGTTTTATCCTGCTTCAGTTCATTTGTTTTTGCTTTTTATCTTATTTTAATTAATTTTATTATTGTTCTTTAGATGGCAGTTTGTTAGATTCTAATGAGGAAGAAATGGCATGGATTCAGATGGGAGGGAGATGGGAGAATTTGGGAGGCGTTAGGGGAGGGGAAACAGCAATCAGAATGTATTGAGAAAAATGGAAAAAGAAAGGTCATTCAGAGTGTAGTGGGTACTCTAGTGTGATATTTTAATTGCATTTGACAATAAAGTTTGTTTTGAATCAGAGGGCAGGGTTAGCCACTAGTTGACCAAAATTAACTGTAGAAGTTTTGGAGGACTGAGAATGGACAGAGAGACAGGAAGTAGTAAGGTAGGGCTTGGAGAGGATCTCAGTCCTTTTTGTATGGAAGAATGGAAGAGATAGAAAGTCACTGGTGGCTTCTCTGCCACTTCTGTGATCATTCAGGCTCTTACCCTGATATCTGACTCCCAATTTTTTATTGATAAAGAATAATTAGATAAACCCATCAAGGTTTTCCTCACGACTGTGATAAAATAGCTTAAAGAAGCTACTAAGGTGGGCAATGATTAATTTCATGGCAGCTGTAAAAAAAAAACTAATTCCATATAGTAGAAGGCATGGTGGCAGGGTCTTGCTCACATCTGAGCATACCAAAAAACAGAGATGGAGCAAGAAGCAGAGCCGGGCTCTAGGCCAAAGGTTCACCCCCTTCACTCAGGGTACCTTTCCTAGAGTCCCAGTGCCAAGAATGCCATGTGGCTTTAATGGGCTAATTGCTTTAACAATTACAGATGCACTGTCCACAT